TGCTAAGACATCGTGAAAGTTAATTGTTAAGAGTGTGGAGTCCGAGAGTCGACGCGCGTTAACCGTTCCGCGAATGTCCTCTGCCTCGCGCCAAGCAACATCCGGCGTCCGCGTGCAAGATATCCGTTCTCGCGAGAGCCTCGGAGCAGAAGCTCTGCAAGATTTCCGAAACGCGTCGAAGGCAGTCATTAACAGGACATTTCAAAAAGATCGGTAAGAACAATCTCACACCAGCTAAAGTGCGTTCCCGGATCTCAACGCTCAAGGAATACTGGAGTCAATTCTCCAATGGACACGCAGAGGTGTCGCGGAAAGTCCCGGAAGCCATCCGATCGTCTTTCAGCTACTTCAAAGACAATCATTACGACGCGACTCAAGCAACATACGAAAACGCTCTGGACCACATGGCGGAAATCCTGGAGGAAATGGAGCCGGTCGTGAGTCCAAATCCGTCTCTTTTCTCGACGAGGCTGCACGCGGACGCGTCCGCGTTTTTGTTATCGCATCTTCCGCCTGTAACGATGCATCACTCCCTCAGTAATGCACCGTTACCCGGCCGCCGATCCGCCGGAAGTCCACCGCCCGACAAACACCGGTCGGGCAAATGCGGAGGCGCCGAGCGCCCATTTTTAAATTATAACAGAAGCGCGTAAATATCTAACCGCCGTCAAACGCGTAAACATCCCGAATCGACGACGCGCTCGGGTAACCGACCCGACCGTTACCGAAAATACCCGAGTCGCGCACGCCGGTTCGACGATGTTACCGTTAGCGCAATTAGGCGAATTACGCAGACGCGCGCGCCGAAGAAATTAGTATAAATAGCGCGCGTTGTCAGTAATCGAGACCAGATCCTCCGATTCGCCAGCGCCGGTAAGACGCCTGAGCAAATCCGAGATCCTTAAACCGCTCACCAGAGAAAGAACCACGGGGTTGGGAGTACCCAGCCTCCGCCGGGAATTTACGGCATCTCTGAGAGCGATCCTTCTATCAGAACGAATTCAGAGGTACACGGGATCGGGCGTACTCGACCCCGCCGATAGTTCTCGGCCCCTCGCTAGCTTTCCGTCCACCTTGTGCATTGGCAGCATTCTCGTGACAAAAGAGTTCCCTACCACGGACGGGAATTCTCGTCGGCCGACGCATCCCAAAATCCGCACCCGCGATCCCGATACGCGAATAAGATCCGACCGTTATACCACTCGACGGACCGACTGTTGACCGCCATAATTAAGACCGATGCGCCATTATTACGGGAGCGCTAAGTCCCGCGCCGAGGGCCGACCCGCGCTCTACCGCGTCACCGATCGACATCCGAAATCGATACACGCGTCGAAGGACCGCCCACCGACGCGGCCGCACAGGACCATCCGACAGCTAACGGCTCCTGCCGGATTTACGCCGCGCGATTAATGATCGATATTCGACCGAACACCCGAAAGCGTGATCCGCGCTGCGCGCAATCGCGGTGCATTGCATGCACCCTCCGGCATTGCATACTCGCACACCGACAGTATACGTACTCGCACGCATACATTGCGTACTCGCACACATACATTATACGTACTCGCACATATACTTTATACGTGCTCCCACACATACATTATACGTACTCGCACATCTACATTATACGCACTCGTCACTGTCACTCGTCTCGCGCGCACATACACACACACACACACACACCTCGCACACTTATACATACACTCACGCTGTACAAACACACATTTACACGCAATAAAGTACATTTCTACCAAACAACAATTCGCATTCGTGTCTCGATACCACTTTCACGAACCCAGGATCCCGACCGAGTTATCCGTCGCCCGTCTCGCGAAAGCGGCTTGTCACACGCCTATAAAATTACCCCCGTTCGACGGTAATTATGACGAATGGGAACAATTTCGCGATCGATTTACTATGCTAATTCGCAACAATACCGAGCTAACCGACTTTGCGCGCATGCATTTCTTATCATCTTGTCTAAAAGGTCGTGCGTTAGAATGTATAGCGAATATTTCTGTAACTGCCGCTAATTTTGAAATCGCATGGAAGGCTTTGACTTCGCGGTACAAAAGCAAACGACGGTCGATAAACACACATCTTTGGACATTGCTTAACTTATCACCGATAACGCGCGAGTCGGCTTCCGAGTTGCAAACATTATATGACGAAGTTAATATCGCTGTAGCGTCGTTAAAAAATCTGAATCGAAAGCCGGAGGAACTCTGGAACGATATTCTCGTTCACCTTATCGTGCAAAAATTAGATCCGGTAACGCGAAAAGCATGGAACGTGAAAGCAAGCGATACCGACGCTCCGCCGGCGTACGAAGATTTTCTTCGTTTTCTTCAATCTCGTACTCGCGCGCTCGAAGAACTTGCGACAACCGCAAGTTCCAAGAACACTACCAAACCCGTTGCAGCCTCGCGCGTACATTCCGCCACCGCATCCGCTAGCACCCAGACTCTGTGTCCGGTGTGCAAAGCTCGACATTTTCTTAATGTGTGCCCTTCGTTCGTGAGTAAGAATGCGAGTCAACGGCGAGAGCTCGTTAAGCAGCATAAACGTTGCTTCAATTGCTCAAGCGCGAAGCATTCCGCACAGGAATGTCGGAGTAAATATTCATGTCGGGTTTGCCACAAAAAGCATCATTCGATGCTTCACGTTGACTCGAATTCTGGCTCAAGTTCCTCGAGAACTATTATGCCGGATTGTTCGTCGCCTCAACCGTTCGGTTCGACACCGGAAGTAAATTCTCTGATCGCCTCAACGAGAAAGCGATCACCCGTCTTATTAGCGACGGCCTGGGTAACGGTGCGCTGTCCGTCCGGTCGAACCGCTGCCGTTCGAGCTCTCCTCGATCAGGGCTCGGAAATGACATTTATTTTGGAAAGTTTAGCGCAACTCTTGCGCGTAAAACGCATTCGCATGCCGATCTCCGTTTCCGCCGTCGGCGGGATTCACGCGGAGACATTTCAACACGCGACTCAAATATTCATTTCTCCCCGCGATTCTCTCGTTCCGTCGCTTTCGACCACCGCGCTCATTATGAAATCGTTAACTTCTTATACTCCGAAACAGAACGTGGATATCTCGTCACTCTCTTATCTTGCTGATTTGCCGCGAGCAGACGCGGATCCGACGAGTCTTGATCCTATAAATCTCATTATCGGAGCAGATCTCTATAACGATATCATTCTCGACGGTGTTCGCAAAGGAAGCGTCGGACAACCAATTGCTCAGAATTACGTCCTCGGATGGATAATTTCGGGACCTATTACGTCATCAACGACGAATAATCTTTCATCACCGACAATTCTTTATGGAAACTGCGCTCTCAATCGCGTTTCAACTCATCATATTGTCGGCTCTCCCTCGCTCGAAGAGGAACTTCATCGGTTTTGGGAGGTCAAGGAACTCCCACGACAAACTCATCTCACACCGCAAGAACAGCAGTGTGAAGAGCATTTTCGCTTAACGCATTCTCGCGAGTCTGACGGACGGTATGTCGTGCGGCTACCGTTCAAAAGGGGTCCTCCGATTGTAATCGGAAGTTCAAGGCCTCACGCGGAAGAATTGCTCCATTCATCACTTCACAGATTTCGCGATAAACCGGAAGTCGCGAAAGAATATGGCGAATTCATGTCCGATTATCAACGACTTGGGCATATGCAGCCTGCGCCGACAGTTCAAAGTCAAATCGAACAATCTGTTTATCTCCCACATCACGGGGTTATCCGGGAAAGTAGCTCTACTACGCGTCTTCGCGTTGTTTTTAACGCATCGAGCGTTACTTCTAACGGCACATCGTTAAATGATCATTTAAACGCCGGGCCGAAATTACAAACCGATCTCATGTCGGTCATCCTACAATGGCGTACATACAAATACGTCTATTCATCCAATATCGCGAAAATGTATCGCCAGATTCACATCGATGCGCGTGATATAGATTATCAACGGATCTTGTGGAAGTCATCGCTGTCGGAACCGCTCATCGATTATCAATTACTAACGGTTACGTATGGAATGTCATGTGCTCCGTTTCTAGCCCTTCGGGTATTAAAACAACTCGTCATCGATGAAGGTCAGCACTTTCAGCTCGCAGTTCCTATCCTAAGCGATAATATTTATGTCGACGATTTACTTTTCGGAGCTGACGATACCATTCGAATTCGGCAAGCGCGCGATCAATTAAACTCTATGTTAAAGCGCGGCGATTGGGTGGGTCACTCCGGTCACGATTACCGCTAAAATATTTATGCAGCAACTCTGGCGACTTAAAAGCGTTTGGGATGACGCAATTTCCGAGCTACACATCGTAAAGTGGAGAGAAATCAATTCTCGGCTCTCACATCTCAATAATTTGCGAATAATACGCTGGATCGGTCGCGGATTGGATACAAGTCACGCCGAAATCCACGGATTTGCGGACGCATCTACACATGCATATGCCGCATGTGTTTATATCAAAATCATTTCGTCATCCGGTCAAATCACAACAACTTTGCTCGTCGGTAAATCAAAGGTCGCGCCATTAAAATCTCTGAGCATACCACGAATCGAATTATCCGCAGCATTATTACTCGCACGACTTGTCGAGTTCGTTCGCGGATCGAACGGTTACAAGGATATTCCGTGCCATTGCTGGACAGATTCCACGATCGTGCTCGCGTGGGTAAGTCAACCTCCTTCGCGATGGAAGACTTTTGTCGCCAATCGCGTTAATGACATTCAGACTCGTCTTCCAGACGTCGAATGGCGGCATGTGCCAACGGAGGACAACCCCGCGGATTGCGCTTCGCGCGGAATATTTGGCGATGAAATTATCAATCGCGAGCTATGGTGGCATGGACCTCCATGGCTGCTCTTCGATTCCGATAAATGGCCGTGTAACAATAAGCGTTTTCCTGAGGAAGCGCCTCTCGAAGAAAATGTTTGTTCGCTACAATGCTCTCAACCGTTCTTTAAATGGGACTTCGCTTCTAAATATTCATCATGGCCAAAGTTAATTCGCGTCACCGCGTATATCAATAAATTCGTAATGATCCGAATTTCTTGAACCTGACTGCCTGCGATAACGTGATGTGGAATTTTATTCCCCCGTCTGCCCCGCATTTCGGCGGGTTGTGGGAGGCGGGCGTCCGTAGCGTAAAAACTCATCTGCGCCGCGTGTTAGGAAATCATATGCTAACATACGAAGAATTCTCGACTTTATTATCTAGAATCGAAGCATGTCTTAACTCAAGACCGATAGCGCCCCTCTCCGATACGCTTGAGGATTACGAGTGTCTCACCCCCGGTCATTTTTTGATCGGATCCGCGCTTACTGTAAACCCGGAACCATCCTTGCTCAATATTAACGAGAATCGCTTGTCGAGATGGCAACTCGTCCGACACGTTACTGAGCGGTTTTGGAAATTATGGAGTAACGACTATGTCAATACGTTACAACAACGAGCAAAATGGCGAAAGGTAGAACCGCCGATTGATACCGGGCAACTCGTCCTCCTGCGTAATCCTATGTTACCTCCCTGTAAGTGGGAACTGGGCCGAGTGATGCAATGTCATCCCGGTTCCGACGGCTTCGTACGGGTCGTCACCGTCAAGACGGCCACCTCGGAATTCAAAAGACCGATCGTAAAATTATGCGTTTTACCTATCAATAGTGAGGCGACGAGCAATTAGGCACCTTCGCTGCGTTGCTTTTCATTTATTGTAATTCATTAGACTTAAGCACAAAATTGTCAAGAGGCGAGCGACATTCCGCCAAAGCGGGCGGCAGATCCACGGTGTTAAATCCTATCGAAAAAAAGTCCTTTTTCCTTATATCGTTAATTGTGGCGTGCGCTCTTGTC